AAACACTTACACAACATTCAGATAAATACTTGCAACACATATGTGAAACATATGCAACATCCAAATAAATACACTTGCAACATACGTCTAAAAACAAATGAAACATTGGGGACAGACGCTTGCAACATATGCACCATCTCGATCTAGTTTGCAACATCCATTTGAAATAATTGCAACATATCTCAAAAACATATGAAACATTTGAAATGTACACTTGCAACATGCATCATATCCTGGTGTGGCATTTGTCGGTGTTTCGAATAAACACCAACGAGTAAATTTGTATTATTGCGCGTCTGGCCCGGATGGTGTGCTAAGAGGACACGAGGTTTATACTGATTCGGGCAGAATGTCCCTATGTCCAGTTCATTGCTGCTGCTCGTGTTACTAGCACTGAAAAGTTTATAGTAGGGGTTACAAATGGTCGAGAGAGGGACATGTCCCAAGTCTCTGGTGGAAGGGACGAATCGGTGCCGAGAGCTTGGTCGCTGCTCGGCTATGTGTTCGAGGTTCGATGCTAGTGATTCTGATCTGATGCGGTGCGATGCGATGCGAGTTCGATGCCCCTCTAAGGGACACCCTGCTTTTCCCTTTTATAGGCCAAGGAAAAGCACGTGTTACAACGGGAGAAAAGAGAAGAACGAGAGGGAGAGGAAGTCCTTCAGGGTCGCCAGGCATTTCCTTTCCTTTATGCGGGCCCCGTAGATATGGCCGGTGGTGATAGGGATAGCCCCACGTGGGGCGACTGTTCGCCTGATGATGCCATGCTCTGTCGTTTGTCAGCGGGTCGTGACGTCCCATCCGACCCCGGCGGGCGGCGCGGCGAACCAGCGTGCTGATCAGCGGTCGTACAGGGAGTAGACATCATAGTGACCACGCGTCCATCACTGTGGGCAATGTGAGTCCCCTGGAATGACATGTCGCGGGGATGGGTCGTGTTGAGACGTGGCCGCTCCCTGCACGATGCCAGAAGTTTGACCTTGGGTTGTACTTTCTGGCCCGTAGTGGTTGGCGGCGGCGTGAGCTTCCGTTAGTGAAAGGACCTAGGATGCCACCTAGAGGGGGGTGAATAGGCGTTTCTAAAAATTAACACCTTTAAATGCAGAAACAATTAGAAAAGGGAGTTTCAACTCCAAATTAAGAGTAATACCACCCCTCACAAGTTAGCCATAGAGTAAACAAGGTATAAAGAATATATCTAGAAGCTATAACCTTGCAACACAAAGTTAGAACAGAGAATGAATATATTCAGCGCAGGCAGGAAATACCGGATGGGTCCGATATGAATACCGGACGTGTCTGGTATACACGATTTCTGCAGAACAGCCCCAAACTTGCTCCTTTCGATTTCTATCTTCAAACCAAACTGCAGGCACCTACTGGGGATGACAATATACACAGAGAACCTGCATAAGAGCTAGAGCAACACAAATATCAATTGAAATGTGAATTGAGACACGATATTTGTTTTATCGAAGTTCAGACTTGTTCGAGTCCTACTCTCCGTTGAGGGGGCTACGGGTGACCCAGCGAAGGTCTGCCCTAGAGGGTACCACGAAGGTCACTCTAGCCAGAGTCTTTTTCAACTCCTTTTTCTCCTTCCACTAGTTGATTCCGAGGCGGCGGAATTGACCGTTACAAACTTTCTGAGGCACACCACAATCTCTCGGGTGCTCTCCGACGACGCCTAACCATCTAGGACCAAAGAGTCCAAGAGTAACAAATATAAATCATGAGATTGGCAATATGCACAAGTGCTCAAGTGGTTGGATTGCTCTCTTTTTTAATTTCTCTCAACCCACTAATTGATTTGGCAATTTGGATCACACTCACTAAGAGAGGGTTTGGGAGAGTTGGCAAAGCTCAAAAATGTGCTAGAGGATCAGCAGAATTAGCAACCTCCAAAGGTGGAGGCTTGGGGGTATTTATAGCCCCCTTGGAAAAACTAGCCGTTTTATAGCCGTTGCCATACCAGACACGTCCGGTATGACTTACACTGCGCCAACGGTAATTGAGTTGTAGTAACGTTGTGAGGCGTCGGAACTCCCAATGAATGCTAGAACTTCCGACCGTCGGAACTCCAAACTTACTTCGGAACTCCCGACCCTCAGCACTTTTGAAAACTATGGTAACTAAGTTAAGGTGTGTGAGGTGTTGGAACTCCCGATGCATGACGAAACTCTCGACCGTCGGAACTCCTGACCGTCGGAACTCTCGACTCTCAAGGTATTTGAAAACTAGCCGTTGGCCTCTGGCCGTCCATACTGGACACGTCCGGTATGACCACCATAGTGAACTCTCCAAGTCAGTTAAGCGCAAGATGTCAAAACTTCCGACCATTGCCGGAACTCCTGACTCACATCAGAACTCCCGACGAACCAACCCGAGAACAACAATTTTACCATTGCTGGGCAAATACCAGACATGTCTGGTATCAATACCGGACACGTCTGGTATTGCCAGACCAATAAAAAACAGATTAGCTCTTTTGTCTCTCAAACACTCAAAACTCACATGGGTTGGCTTGAGCACTTATGAAACATTATCTATCAATATGATGCATCCCTCTTAATAGTACGACATACCTATTAAACTCAAGATTAAAGGAAAAACAAATTTATATCGCTTGAGTTGACCTGTTTTGAATTAATGCCGTCTCTTTCAATCTTCATCAAGTAAGGGTGCCAACATATTGATATTGATCTTTTCACTTGAGCATAGCCATCTTGAGCACATGACTTGATTCCATTCATCAAATATGAATAACTCCAAATACATCAAGTCACTTCAAACACTTTGTCCAATATAGATTTGATCCTCCACATCAATATAACCATCGTAGCTTGATTAGTACCTCAACTAAATGCAAGTACTTCCTTCTTCACCCTAGCTAGGTTCTTTGGCTGCCAAGCCGTCGCTTGCCCTTCACCCTTGCTTAGTACCTCGAAGCCTTTCCTTGCTATCTTCACCATCTCAAGCCATCAAGTCACATCTTGTGTTGAATCATCTATTCATTGGTATTGTTATCTTTTTTATTCCAATTTAGCAAGCATCAAATATGAGACCATTCCATATGCAATCCTCCATGTCTCATTAATTAATTCTTACGAGCTTGCTTTCACATAGTACATGAAAATCCCACAATAAATGAGCCTTTGCATGAATTCCATTTGTATTGTTATCTTGTGCTTGAACTAGATTATTTATATAACAACACATCATTTTTTGCTTTCATTAAGCACTTGTGAGATAACCTATTACCTGTCCACACTTATCAAACGTGTTAGACCTTTAATCACGTTGTCATTAAATCATCCAAAACCCACTAAAGGGCTAGATGCACTTTCAGTTAGAAGCCGTGCCCGAGGGATCAGGCAAGGCGGAACTAACCTGCAGACGCCGGGCGAGGCGGAGCCGGCCCTTAGACGTCGGGCGAGGCGGAGCCAGCCCTCAAACTTCGGGCGAGGCGGAGCCCGCCCCCAGACGTCGAGCGAAGCGAAGACCGCCCTCGGGGGTTGGGCGAGGCGGAGCCCGCCCTTAGAGGTCGGGCAAGGCTGAGACCACAGCCTTGGTGTCAGGCGAGGCGGAGACCGCCCTCGGGGGTCGGGCAAGGTGGAGCCCGCCCTTAGAGGTCGGGTGAGCCTGAGCCCGTGGCCTCGGTGTCGGGCGAGGCGGAGCCAGCCTGCAGATGTCAGGTGAGGCGGAGCCCGCCCTCAGACGTCGGGCGAGGCAGAGCCCGCGACCTCTGGGTCGGTTGGAGCTGTAGTCACACCCTTGACTGTCTGGATGGATTAACGTATAACGACCATTAGCCCCTACTCTTCGGGTACCCTAGTATTGGTCTCCGACAGTCATCCTCCGCAGTCTGCATCGGGGCGCCGCGGCCATAGCAGAAAAGCGAGGCTGGAGGGAGTCCACGCTAGGGCTCGGTGCTTCTCAATGTGCTGGCAGCGGCTGTCGGCGTCATCAAGCGGGACGGGCAGAGCAGGGAGCAGTGGGATGGGCGGCGGAGCAGCGACAGGTGCAGCAGTAGGAGCAGCGCGGAGCAGGTGCAAGAGCAGCGAGGACAGAGCAGACGGGGCGAGCGGCAAGAGCAACGGATGGGACGCGGGGCATGGGACGCGAAGCAGAGCGGGATGGGCCCGGGTGCGGTGCTGCCACGTTGGAGAAGGCCGCGGCGAGCCGATCCCACGATAAAGGCTCCCGTGGCGGTCGCATGCGTGCGACACAATGGAGGAGCTCGCATTGGTCGCTGCATGCGGCGGTGGGAAAAGAAAATGTCGCTGACATTTTTCTTCTTTTTGGAGAAACCATGCTGACGGTGGAACGAAGCAGGCCTATTTGCTCCGATCGCTGCATAGGTCCGAGAACAGGGCGTGTAGACGGACATCCTCACCGCAGCATTATTGTTGTTGTAAGCCAAGACTACTTGTTGCTTTGTTATCTATCATAACAAGACGGAGGAATCAAATCATCCACTGAAAGACCTGTTGCTTTAATTTAATTTCAAAAGTATCGTATATTGCTAGAAGTTGAGAAATCCTTAACTAAAAAGTTTATGTAGATGTAGGCCGTCGGATCCTCAGTCTGGCCCTGTCCACGGCCGTCCGATTTGACTCATCCCACATTCCCACTACTACCACCGGCCCCGTCCCAGTCAACGCCACCGTCAGTTCAGTTGAGCATGCCGTCGCCGTCGCCGGCGGCCGTGCTCGTCAGCAACGGCGCCATCGCTCCACACGCTCCCCCATCCGCCGCCGCCTTCCTCGACTCCACGCCGGGCGCCTACACCACCGCGCGCGGAACCCTCCTCTTGTGGCCACGCCACCTCCGCCGCCTCGCCGAATCCGCCGCGCTCCTCGCCCGTTCCCACCCCCACCTGCTCGGCCTCCCCCTCCCCCTCCTCCTCCCCCCCCCTCCCCCGATCGCGCGCCCTCGACCTCGATTTCCTCTCCATCCAGTCTCTCGTCAACCCCTCCGTGCGGGTCGCCATCCACGAGATGCGCACTCGGCTGCCCGTGACCAAGGACGAGCATTTGGCGCTCACTGCCCTGGTCAGAGGAGCAGGAGCAGGAGCCGATTCCATTTCTGGTTCTTGGGACGGCCTCGACGTCTTCGTCCACGTCGGGACGTATGCCCCGCCGGTCTTCGGAGAGTCGGGGGCCAGACTTGCTGTTGCCGGCAGGGGAAGGGACGCCGCCGCCGCCAAGTACGCGTCCTGGGCCAGGTCGGTGCTGTACTCTACTGTATGTTGCCCTATCTAACTAATGCGATTCATTGCAATCTTCTTGAAAGTTTGTTGCTGCCTAAGCTGCTGAGCTAGTATTCCATTCCTTACCTTTCCTCTGGATGAATGGAGAAAATTGCTATTTCGCCGTTATTAAAGTGGGCTTCGTTCTTTTCTTTCACCATCCGGATTCGTCCGTTTGTCATTTTCAAACGTGACGCATATGTATTATATTTTGATTTTGAATTTTTTTCTTCGTTATTTCCTTTCCCCTTTTACCCCTCGCCCATCCCCCGGCAGAACCTTATCTTGTTCTGTTCGCACAAGGACCGGGAGGGAGAGAAGGAACGGGAGAGAAGGACGCCGCCAGGCAGCGAGGTGGTCGACAGCGCCGCCGCCGCCTCCCCCGGCCAGCCCACCGCGGCCGCCCCGACTCGCCGGCGCGCGGCCAGGACTTGCCGGCGCGCGGCCAGGTCTCGCCGGCGCGCGGGCAGAAAGCTGGTCGACGGCGCCGCCGCTGCCTCCCTGTCCTGCTCCTGCCCACGGCGGCCGCCCCCACTCGCCCACGCCGTGACCTCACCGGCCGCCCCCACTCGCCCACGCAGCCTGGTGTCACGACTCCGCCGTCGCCGCCATGCTTTCAGTAGGGATGAACGATGAACCAGAGGATGGCTCACCCGGAGCGGTCCCGTGGACAGGTTCTTCTATATGTTTGTATTCTCAACAACTCTGCTCTGCCTGTATGTCTTTGGGTTCTGCTGGGTGCTCATTGTTAAGATCAGAAATGAAGAGCAGATAACAATTTGGAAGGCAATGGCAAAGACCCCTGCATCTATTGCTTTAATCATCTACACATTCATTGCAGTCTGGTTTGTTGGTGGCCTCTCTGTGTTCCATTTGTATCTCATGAGCACAAATCAGGTAAAAACTGATTCCAAGAAGGATGTATTTATATCCTTGCCTGATGAAGTATGTTGTGCCAATTGCTAATCAGTTGCCCTACTTCTGCTTTGTAGACAACATATGAGAACTTCAGGTATCGCTATGATCAACGAGCCAACCCATACAACAGGGGAGTCATAGAAAACATCAAAGAGATCTTCTTTACAACGATCCCTCCTTCCAAGAACAACTTCTGTGGTAGGGTCCAACAGGAGCATGGTCTGAGGCCTCGTCCAACAAATGGTTTCATGAGTCCAAACATGGGGAGACCTGTATGGCGGTTGTTTCTGGACTTTCTTTTCTTCTTTCTCTTAATTTGAGATGTCTTTCATGTCTATTGTCTGAGGCAGTTGGTTTGTGACGTCTCCAGTTTGGCACTGTCAGGTTTTGTCTGTATATAATCGGAGCAGTAAGCCTAAAATAGGTTTCAGTTGCTTGGATTTGGATGGTAATGGTTGTGAACAATGTCGAACCTTTGCATTGCATTAAATGAACATAGCTTGATCTGAGTGCCCATGTTAAGATTAATTTCATTTCTTTGTTTCTTTGGAAATGTTAATTTATCGCTAAGAGTTTTTTTTTTTTGAATGCTAAGTTATCTCGAGTTAATATGCTATAGTATTGTTCCTACTCTAAAGTTCCTTGACATGTAGAGTTCATGATGAAGAGTAGGGTGCTACACTTCTGGGGCATATTGTTCTAGTATTCATTTTCAACAGTATAAGTAAAGGTTTTCATCTTGTAGCGGTGAGACAATTGTCTCGGGGTTTGGGCAACTGGGACATTCACTACTGTGTATATGGTGCAGTCGTGCAGTAGAAATGAGTCTGCGTACAGACTGGAACAGGTAACAAAACAATAACACCCTGGGCTCGTTTGACATGTCGACCGAAACAACTTTGGTAAGCTCAATTGATATGGAAAAATGTCTTCACAACTCCACCGAGAACATGCATTTTCCCTGACAAGAAAGGATGTTTCGCCAAATGCTACCACAGATGGTATTCTTGTCTACTCCTAACACACTTCATTCCTTTTATTAATTTTCAGATAAGTAGAGGTTGGTATCTGAATCTGATCATTACAGCTTGGAGAACACAGGCTTACGCTTCTCCAGGAAGGCTCTGATGGCCTCCTTCAGATCATTCGATCTCATCATACCCGCATTCCATGAGGCTACATGCTCCAGGCCTTGTTCTACAGTCACATCCCTGCTTCTTAGCAAAACCGCCTTGGTTCCCATCACCGCCCATGCCGACTTCTCAGCTATTTCTGAAATTATCACCCAAGTTCAGTCCAAAACTAGTCAAGAATATGACAGATTATGTTCGTGCAGGAGTGAGCTCAAAATAATTTGCAGTTTAACCTAGCATATGAAGTAAAAGAGCACTCATGCACAATTGAACAGACTAACACAAAACCGACAATAGGTACAACACTACGCATTCTCATCATAGAAGGGGAATGAGTGTGTAATCTATGGGCACGATCTTTGAAAACCCACAAGACTACCACCGCTAGGTGCCTAAGCCACATGGGTGCCCCTTGGAGATGGATCTATATGAATTCCAGGAGCATAAGCATAATACTCACATGGTGGAAGAACCGTTATACTCCTACAAGCTAGTTAACAGTTATCTTGAGCTTGATATATTGGTGGTACAAGGGTTGTCAAAAGGGCTGTGACGGTCATTGGTGCTCACTAGAGTATAAGTATTGTTTGTTGCTTTCAGCTCTATTGCAGTAAGCTTAGTACATCTCATGTTAATCAAGGCAGCGAAGCATGAACAATTGTACTGTATGTAAGAAGGAGAAGATAGATACTAGCAGATGTTAATACCTTTGACGATCTTTGCGACGCCGGCATCCAATTCTTTCTTGGAATCGAAGACCCTGGTAACCAGGCCCATCTCCTTGGCCTCCATGGCGGTGATCTTGCGTCCGGTGAGCGCGAGGTCAGCAGCGTTGCCGTAGCCGACGATCCGCGGGAGGCGCTGCAGCGCGCCGAGGTCGGCGACGATGGCCATGTCCACCTCCTTGAGCACGAACGTGGCGTCCCTGGAGCAGCACCTGATGTCGCAGGCCGCGACGACCTCGACGCAGGCGCCGTGCACCGCCGCGACGACGGGCTTCCGGCACCGCTCGATGGCCGTGAGCGCCCCCTGCATGTCCAGGACCGCGCGGCGGAGCGCCTCCGCGGCAACCACGGGGTCGCCGGCGCCCGCGGCGGAGGCGGCGGCCAGCGGGTCCCCGGGGCCCCCCCAGCTCGATGCCCGCGCAGAAGTGCGGGCCCGCGGCGGACAAGCTATCATGGGATGGATGAGGGGTAAAGGGGGAAAGGAAATAACGAAAAAAAAATCAAAATCAAAATATGGTACATATACTGGTCCAGGGCATTCTGGCGGTGCGTCGCGTTTGAAAATGGCAGACGAACGAATCTCATTTGCGGGATGGTAAAAGAGCGAAGCCCACGTTTGATAATGGCGAAATAGCAATTTTCTCGGATGAATGCATGCAGGATCCGGAAGAGTTTGGAAAAGATGAGGCCTCCTGGGGTCACAGAGCTCTTGTTGACTAGTGACGGGGATCATCATATTCTTGAAGGCGCTGTCACAAACTTCTTTGTTGTCTGCCAGCAGGCGAGTCCAACTTCTTTCTTGTCTATGAATGGATGGCATCCATGTTGCGGTTTTTACTGATAATATGCAAGAAGAATCCTTCTGCACTGACACTTAGCACTTATACTGAATGCCAATGATATTATAGAGTTCTCGGTACTCATCACTTAACAACTAGTCTCATATTATTTTTGTTCACCAGAACAGAGAAAAGAGTATCACCATCCATGTATTGGGAAGGAACAAGTGAAAGTCATGCATTTCCTTTCACAAATTTTCTTTTTCATCAATTCTGGTCAGTTGTATTTTACTTTTTATGTCTGCTGCGGCCTTATTTGTTGTCCTGTCATCATATAAATGCATGTAATGATTAGAGTTTGAGCTAAAATGACGATCCTTGGTGCCTTCCTATGAATGGATTCTAGGATGTCCAAGCCTCCAAGGAATGACCAAATTTCTTTACACTTTTGAGATTTTGTTGTTGTATTTATCTGATCTGGTCTCTCAAAAAGCACCCGCAACATATTGCCAGCCACATGGATCTTCTCTACTAATGGTGTACACTACAGTTTTTGAACTTAAACAAGTGCATTGTCATGTTGGAATTCTGAAAATATAGTTTTTTTTCTTCTTTTGTACAATAACTGATGCATTTCTCTATAGGAGGAAAATGAGAGGAATGGGCAATTCTCTAATCAAACAATGGCTACTAAGTTTGAAGTGCAAACAGGGCCACTGAGTGATGGAGTCCTCCCTGGGATTATACGTCAGATAGTGATAGAGTAAGTATTCTTTGACTACTCTGAATTCCACGTGCTTTGGTTTTATCATCTTGTATGGTTTTAGAGAGAGTGAAGCAAATTTCAGGATACTAATAAAAGTAACTGGGAGGGACCTTATGCCTGCTTTGATATTACCTTCTTTCATCTCACAGTTTTGCACTCTATACTCTCTGCACTAGGTCCAGTGGACATGCAGACCTAATAATTGCATACTAAAGGGGTTGCGTAAGAGGGAGTGATTGACACTGTAATCCTGACTGAGATATTGCGAGCTAGAGATAATACCAAATGCTGATGCCTTGTAACAGAAGTTGTATTTCTTTGGACCAGGGTGTGCCATGATATTGGAATCCCAGTACGAGAGATATCTCCATCGTGGTCCAATAATGAATTTTGGAAAGAGCCATTTGTTATAAGTAAGAATTTTCCCTCTCGGATAACACGACCTGCTGGTACATGATGTCCTTATTTTGAGCATTGGCTGCTGCTATTTGGTGTACCATATACATCATACCTGTAGCAGGTAGCTTAAGGCTTATCCAGCATGTAGAGTCAGTTCAAGTACCTTTATTTTGGGAGGACATACAATCTAAAACCTGGAGCGATGTACCTTGGGCGGTGAAGAAGTTTCAGGTACGCAATGCTTATAGCGTCTTTCCACATTTGTTTTTTGTCCTTTCGGTGATTTTAAAAACTGTTTGTAAACTTGTCAAAATTCAAAACTAGGGTGCTGGATGCATTACGACACAAATTCATGTTAGTTCTTCACAAGATTCAGAAAATCCTCTTTACTGCAAACTTGTGACTAGCTGACTCATCATGCAGAGGGAAATACTGAAGAGAGCAGCAAGAGAGGAGTACGACATTAACAGTCTCCTTTGAGTTATGAGCGTCGTTCGTTGATTCATTTGAAGGGTCCATAATGCTGCTAGGGCAATATATAGGTAACTTGGTAGTTATTACATCTCTGTTGAGAACTTGAGATGATATTGTAACACTGTTTTTTTTTGTGTGTGTGTGGATAATTCAGACATTTTGGCTGCTGTGCTTTATTTGTTGGCTAACCAAAACAGGCCTCACCTCGGGGAAGTAGAAGAGGAAGGCAACTGGTGGATAGCGTTGGAGTCCGGATGGGGAGTATGGATTTGGATAGCCTATTGGTTGGGCGGCCACTCATAGCCGGGTAGGGATTTGAAAGTCAAAGGTCCTGTGATAGTTCCTCTGCAAAAAGTGTAGAGGAGAAATTAGTTGATTTGAGGAACTAATTGTCTGTTTCGGATACATGAATACAATGACCAAATGATCCCTGCTGCAGATGCTCACTAGGCAGTAGCGAAGCAACCCCATGCATGCTTATTATGAGGTTGGATTAGTTGCAACCCCCTTTTGATCTGTAGCTGCAACTAATTAATCTGATCTGTTTGCCGTGTATGTGTATGTTCTGAGGATGGTGGCATCGTGAATATGAATGGATGAATGAATTTGAGTTCCTCAAATGAAATCATCAAATCAAACTAATCTATAAACAAACAAAATAGTGAGTGAATTGCTCCGAGCATGGAAGGAAGGAAGGAATTGCTCCGAACATGCATAACGTTAACGCCCAAGTACAAGATGGCCAAAGCCCACGCAGCGCGGACTCACATAGGCAGGCCCGGTCTGCCAAGCCCACGCACACTAAGACGGCAACGGCCGGCCCACTACGACCACTCTCCTCGGCCCTCGCAGCTGCATTCTCTCGCCTCCCCCGAGCGACCGATTCCCGCCGCCGGCCTTCTCCAAGCAGCCATGGATGAGTGGGTTCACCAAGCCGAGAGCTGGATCCGCCAGCAGCCCCCGGAGCAGATCTATATCGCGGCCGCGGTGGTTGCCCTCACAGTCCTGCTGCTTATCGTAGGTACGTCCGCTGCCAAACCTAGACTTCTTCTCAAATTCCCTACATTCTTGAGTACGGAGTATTGTGCTGCCAACGCCCACGGATTCTTATGTGGCCCAGTAGGCATGAAATAGGTGTGTTCAGTTTTGCGGCAGGGGACTGCTTGGGGTGGGATCCCTGGAGAAACATTCTCGCCCGCCTAAATAAAAGCGCCACAGTTGTTACTGGTTAAGTTTTTTTTTTCGATTTAATTCAATCACTGGAGAATAAACTAGTTGTGGATCTGGAATTGCATATTTAGCTCTAGTGTGCTGTCTGCTTCATATATCTGGGTAAAATAAGATGTGACCGACTCCATGCCCTGGATCATATGGGAGCTGATTTGGGCAGTGGAGGAAGAGGCTATACTCCGATTAAATTAAGCAACTACAGGAGAGCAAGCTGCAGTTACCTAATTTATGAGGGGGACAAACAGTATCGTTTATACCTGTATAAATTAACCAATCTGTGGAGTTTGCGATCATTTATTAGTTTTGAAAATTATAGTTGTGCTTAGAAAGGAAGGACGTAGCGGAAATTTTGAGCCTTGGTTCATTCAGACTCTGAGGTGTCATTGTGCCACAAGTTTGAAGACTTCAACAGGGTTGTTTTGATGTAGTAATATAGATTAAATAATTGAAAATTAGGCCCATGGTTTTATTAGCAATAGTTAGTGTGCTCGATGATTTAGTATTTACAAGTTCTTGAACATGAGGTCTCTGATGATGGCATGTTTATGTTATGAAGTGAAGAAGGGTTTTTGCTTTTTGTTCAGAGATACCTTATGATCTACTCCCTCCGTTCCAAATTATAAGTTGTTCTGGCTTTTCTAGATACATAGCTTTTGCTACGTACCTATAAAAGCCAAAACGACTTATAGTTTGGAATGCTATACATGAGGTGTCATGTGTCATGCTGTACATATTATCTGTTTCCGCCATGTTGCTTGTCAAGATCTATGCTTTATCATACAATTCATTACATTAGAGTGGTGACTGGTGAGTGCTAAGCAGTTACTTTGTCTGCCTTTATATTTCCACAGCATCTTGTCTGAAATCCTCGAAGCCAAATACTATAGTGCTATCCGGGCTTAGTGGCAGTGGAAAAACTACTATTTTCTACCAGGTAACTGCTGTTCTTTTTGTCTATGGGGTGTAGGGTTTTACAAGTGAAGGACAAGGTTGTAGTATCTAGTTTGCAAAATAATCTTGTCTGAACGTCATTTTGTGCATTAAATTCTAGCAGGACATCTCTTTCTTATGTGGTTGGATTTTGTTTTTACATATAGTATAGTTGGTTTGGTTTGATTTGACTATGCTCATATCTGATTCTAGAAGCACTGCCTTGCGATACCATTAAAAATCAGGATTATATATGTTTGTTACTTTTTGTCTATTAGACCATTTGGTATTCATATCAACACCGTTGTAACAGGTAGGTGGGTTGTACTATCTTTTATTTATCTGCTAATTGCCTAATTCTGTGTCTGCTTGTCAGCTTCGGGATGGATCATCACACCAAGGAACTGTGACTTCAATGGAAGAAAACAATGACACATTTGTGCTGCATTCGGAGCAAGAAAGGGTAAGAAACTTGTAGAGTTAATTCTTTTTCAGACATATTGAGATAAAAAATAAAATGGATAGCATAGTTTTTTTTATGAAGAAACATGCATTTCTTGACTGCAACATTTTTGCTAAACCTTCTTCCTATTGCCCTTTTCAGAAAGGCAAAGTAAAACCTGTGCATGTTGTTGATGTCCCTGGCCATTCAAGGCTCAAGCCCAAGCTTGATGAAGTCCTGCCTAAAGCAGCTGGGGTTGTTTTCGTTGTTGATGCTCAAGATTTCTTCTCTAGCATGCAAGCTGCTGCAGAGTAATTTTTGTGCCCTCTGTTTTAGTATTTATCAAATAACTTTGGTGTCTATATCATCTACTTTTACTTGCTTTTGTGCTGGATTGAAATTAGCAGTTTGATTAGGAGCTTTCTTCATAGGCAACGTATCATGTGCAAACCAACCAACCTGTGCAAACTTGGAAACTACCAATCAGGACCACTGGATGCTGATTCAATGGATGGGGTGAGGGGGCTTAAGCGCAAAAAAAAAGGACGGCGGGTGGGGGGCTTAAGCGCAAAAAAATCCCACCTCTCACCCCATTCATTGGATCAGCATCTAGTGGTCCTGATTGGTAGTTTCCAAGTTTGCACAGGTTAATTGGTTTGCACCTGATACGTTGCCTTCTTCATATCCCAAAATTGCAGAAATTATTGTGTTTGATTAATTTCTTATTGTAGTTAACATTGTGTGACTAGCAGCCTTCTCCATATTCTCAACATTTCATAACAATTACTCTGTTTGATCATTTGTTAATGTTATTAAAATTGCAGAAAAATTACTCTGTTTGATCATTTGTTAATGCTGTTAACATTGCATAACAATATTACCACCCTTTTGCAGGTACCTGTATGACATTCTGACAAAGGCAACTGTAGTGAAGAAAAAGGTTCCTGTGCTTATATTCTGCAACAAGACAGATAAAGTTACAGCCCACTCAAAGGAGTTCATAAAGAAACAGTTGGAGAAAGAAATGTAAGGACAGCTCTCTCGTCCCAACATTTATGGTACTTGCATAATTAGAATTTGAATGACTCAAACCCAGTAGTCAATAAATGCTGTGATTATGGATCGTATTCCTAGATCTGATGTGCAACAGGAATGTATCCAATGACTTATACATGATAATAATCTGCAAAGATATATAGAATTTATTTGGGTTGGGGAGTAGTAGTAGTTCTTGCATATCCCCGTTTCTTATCCCAAACAAATCTATAACTCGTAGCCACCTTTAACTTTAAGCGAGCATGCAAAACATATGTACCAGTCTCCTACTGATGTGAAATATTAATAAATTCACAAGGTTTCTAATGCCTGCCCTTCTTTCCCATGTTGTAGAAACAAGCTTCGAGAATCAAGGAATGCCATATCATCAGCTGACATCTCTGATGAAGTCCAGCTCGGGGTCCCTGGAGAGGCATTCAACTTCAGCCAGTGCCAGAACAAGGTGGCTGTTGCTGAGGGTGCCGGTATGACTGGTAATGTTTCAGCTGTCGAGCAATTCATCCGTGAACATGTGAAGGCGTAGATTGTTCTTATTGTTCTCAGGGCTGCGAATGATTCACCTGATGAGGCAAGACAGGTCCTCTGACGATGTTTTGAGGCGCAATCATATTCTGCACCGCTTCAGCTAACCCATGTTAGAGGCGTTACATGTTGATTGTTAATTAACGCCTGACAGTCATCGGGTATGAATAGAGGCAGCTAAGAACTGTCTCTGGCCATGGTGGTTTTGCTTGATAAGGTTGATATTTCCCTGATTTTTACCAGTCTCTGTTCTAAACTCTGGTTGTAGTTACAAGCAAAAGTCCAGATTTCTGACTCTGTTTTACGGAACTGACTGTTTTTCGGAAGCAACTGTTTTATATGGTGAGACACTGTAAGACAGGCCTCACCATTCGAAAGCAGAACACGGAAGGCAATTGGATAGCTCATGGGGTAGTTTGCAAAAAGGAAAAGGAGAAATTGTATAGTTCAAAACCCATGTGTTTGTGCATCATCATTCTTTTCCGGTTTCATCTACAAAGAGTTCTGATAATCCATCCCAGGATCTATTTGATTTGTAGCTGCAACTATTCTCGCCGAGTATGTTTTGAGAATGGTCCATGGTAGGACCATGCATCAATCTGAATTTCGGTTCCTCAAACTGCACTCTGCTTGCGAGCGATGATGGACCAAAAAATAAATAAGATTGTTGTAGGAATCTGATGGGATGCATCAGGTCTATAACTATAATTCTGGTAACAATCGTTGCTTTGCTTGCTTCGGTCAAGAGTCAAGACTGATCGAAGAGCAAGACCATGCATCAAGTTGCTTGGTGGTTACACTTACACTCAAGCAATCATATTCCTAAAAAATCACACATTCAACCAAAAAAAAAAACCCTTCAAAACTTAAAAATGCCTTCTGAATAACCTTAGAACAACTAGAGATCTAGCCTTTAGGTCTTGCATAAAAGTCATTGTTGATGACCAAAATTTGAGATGGTTATCTGAAGCGGTGCATAACCATCATCGTTGCCTTCTGATAACCTTAGAACAACTAGAGATCTAGCCTTTAAGCTGGCTTAGCTGGTTCCCTAAGCCAGCTTAGCTAGATCATAGATTGGACGTCACCATTGTGTAGCACTCATTGACCTGAGTAAAATGTATATGTAATCTTAGTCGAATTCGGGTGGGAGCAAAATGGCTATGGAAAGTCCATACTTGTGAAAACCAGCTAAACCTTTTTTAAAGTTGGCAAAGCTAGATTTTAGGAAAGTCTGAGTTAAAGTTGTAATTTAGCATGAGTGTGTAATAAATTATTATGACTTGTTCCCAGGGTAGACCTCCCCACCCAATAAATATAAAGGGTCACCACCACTTGATGGCCTCGAACTGTATCTATTAACATTTTTATATTTTGACACCCTTTTGTATTTTTATCCCGTAAGCCTACTTTTTCAACCCCATCTGATGTTCTTATCTCATCTCCATGTCATAAGAAGGAATCCTAGTTGGCCTATTGAGCCTAGTAGGGAACATTGGAGTGAGTTTGCTCAAGTGGGACCTCTCTCAGGTGAGCGTTCGACGGGGTCTACTGATGGACCTAGTTTGTCGAAACCGGCTAGGCTAGTTTCTAAATCTGGCAAGCCGCAAAGGTGTGTATGTGAGAGGTGCATGTTGTGTGTGCTTGTGTGATGGCGTGTTCTAGCATCGACCGTAACTGATGTGACTGTCACCACTGTTTGTTTTTCAGGTAGGAAAGGGGGAAACAACCATGCAAGGACGAGAGGCTTGTAGTTCAAGATGAAGTGCGAGCACTGCACCGTCGAGCTTGTCATGATTGTTAGACTCTCTGCCGTTTCTGTTGTATGCGAACGGAAGAAAAGACCTGCAAGGCATCTCGGTGTGGGCTGCGCCATCCATAAGACCATGCATGGCTCTCATAAGACCATGCATGCGTCATCAGCTAGCAGACGCGCCGCGCGGTTGCTTTCACGGAAATCCGCCGCCGTTTCCACTGCACTGTCCGTTAGCTGGCTTTCCATCTGTCCAGCCCACTGTATGTATACTGGGCTCTCACACCATCCATCCATCTGTTTGCCTCGCTCACTCCCTTTCCTCTCTATAAAAACCAAAGGAGGCACTCTCAAAGCATCATCTCTCTTTCTGTCCCTTCTTCCCAGTGACAAGAGGAAGCTAGGCCGACACAACATCCAGTCCGTCCCGTGTACTCTGTGATCCTTCTTGGTGTTTTGATACAGGTTGGTTGACAGATGTGTTGATTTTCAGAGATTTTGATAGTTCTCTTTGCTTTACCTGCTAGGATCGATCTATCCTTTATTTGGTGGGTGGGTGCATATATGTAAGTGCTTGTTCATGTATCTATGCTATATTTGCTACAGCTTAGCGGAAGGAAAGATCCATGGACATGAGCTCCAGCACCACCAGCGGCACTGCAGCAGCATCAGCTCCCCACAACCACCAGCAGGTAACTTGGTGATCGCCTCCTTGCGCTCGATCATCCCTTTCATGTTGGCTACTTTCTTTCCATATATAGATCGATATGCAAGTGAGACACGAACATATTTGTTAACCTTTATGTATGTTTCTTCTTCTTCTTCTTCAATCTATGATACAAGTTCGTTTCTTTCTCTTGATTTCAAGTAGCTAGCAGGCTAGCTCACTGCTAGAATATTCTCCATGAATCAATTGTTGGATAACCTTCCAAATTAATTCAAAGTTTCCTAAACTTTTTTTATTTATTTCAGCCTCTTGATTTGTTAGTCTATAGTGTGCATCATTAACAAGATTCTCGAATTTATTTAAACAAAGTTGTCACTGCACTTTTGGGGCGATAGGATGTTTACACCATGTATCCCTCTTCTCTAACTTTGGCGACACTTACGAGATTAAGGTTCAGGGTTGGTGCTCACCATAGTCCCGTGAGCCTTGAGGGAAATCCTATGGTGGCAGAGTGGTGGTGGAGGTGGATGTGATAGGATGAGGGCTAGAGGGTGACAACGTAACGACATCCTAGAAAATCCAAGTTAATATCACGGTAGATGTAGCGATGATAACCGATAGGGAGCCACCATAGATGAAGAGGGGCGATGGCGTGCAAGGATGAGAGCATGATGGAGAAGGTGAATAAGGCACTGTTGGTGGGATGGAGGGGATTAAGTCTGCGAGGGTATGGTGTCTGGTTGGCGTCGAATGCGATGCAGGTGAGACACGAACATCGGCATATCGAGCATGGGGGCTCAAGCATGCCAGGATGACACCCATCATCCAACACGGGTGAGCGAGTAGTAGGGGGCACAAGAGTGTACGTGTTGGGTACGGTACCGGTGGCAGCATGCATGGGTAACGAAAATTAGGCTTAAATGGGGTAGGAAAATGAGGCATTGGATCACAGTGACTGGCAACTTAATATTCAGGTGTTGGGCTTCCTAATGGCAAGTAGGTAATTGGTATGATCCCTGTGAGAGGATGTGGATTGGTCAAGACAAAGTAGGAAAATGGACCATCTTATGTGTATCATGGATTGACCGTTGTACAATTTAGTGGGGATAGAGAGGATGAGGCACGTTGGAGTGACTGGTTTGTGTCGAAAACGATGTAGGTGAGAAGCATACATGGGCATATCAAAGATGAGGGCTTAGGCGTGGCAGGGTGTCTCTCAGTATCCAACACTAGTGAGCAAGGAATTGGCACTAGTGTGGGGCTGGGTGAGGGCAGGAGTGTGTTAGGTATAGTAGTGACGGCACCGTAGGTGACTATAGGGAGGTGGAAAGGAGGCGACTCAAGGGGTGTTTAGGGTTAAAAGGGGTTGCAAATAGACTATTGGATTAAATTGATTGGTGTCCAAAGATTTTGGTGTCAGGTTTCATGAAGTACACAAGTGGGCTAGGGATTGAGGTCCTATGGGATGATGAGATCAGGAAAGACAAAAGTGGGACCTATAAAATACATATTTGGTTTTGGTGTGTCATTACATATGTAGTACTAGCACACAACACAATAATCTACCATAGAAAAGTTTGATTGTGGTTATCATACATTCTAGCCACTATAGAAAATTGTCACTTTATTTCCATCTAAAAAGGTAGTACACATTTCATTCTATGGTTTTGAACAAGCTTGTGCTTCATGATATTTAATTTGTTAAATCAGGAAGTTGGGTGATATGTGTAATACTATATCATTATTTCTCTTTGCTTGTGGCGCTAATAATGGCTCTAACACATGTTAATAATTTTTGCATCCACAATTTATTTGGTGCAGGAGGCGATGGTGGCATCCCCCATTATAAAGGACGAAGCTCGGAGCCCAAAGCATGCACAAGTCACGCAACAGGCAAGTGGCAGTGTTGAGCGTAAGCCGTGGCCGCAGCTGCCTAAGGCGCTCAGGTGCCCACGCTGCAACTCCAACAACACCAAATTTTGCTACTACAACAACTACAGCATGACACAACCACGATACTTCTGCAAGGCCTGCCGCCGCTATTGGACACATGGTGGCGCCCTCCGCAATGTCCCCGTTGGTGGCGGGTGTCGCAAGAACAAGCGCGCCTCTGGATCCGTCTCAAGCTCCGGCACCTCATCGTCCTCATTGGCTGCCTATGCACCATTATCCCCCGGCACCAACACCAGCTCTAGCTCCAGCAAGATGAGTACCAACACACAACTGATGATGGTGCCTAACATGATGATGCCCGCCCCAACGACGATAGGCTTATTCCCTAATGTGCTCCCGACACTTATGTCGACAAGTGGGGGCGGCGACTTCAACTTCACCATGGACAACCAGCATGCCTCCCTGCCCTTCACGCCAATGTCACTATCCAACCAGGCATCAGTGCCAGTGCTAGCCGTGGGAGGGAGTGGGACAATGCCATCTTTCCTAGATATGCTAAGAAGAGGGCTTCTTCTTGGTAGCAGTAGCTATAACGCATGTCTCGCGATGAGTGGCGGCAACAACGGAATGGAGATGCCATTTCCTCTGCCATCATATGGTGCAATGCATGGGCCTAGGTTGAGTGGCT